GGCAGTCTCAGTCTGCATGATCACATGCAGCGGTGAGCGGACAAAACACACACTTCGGGTTAGAATATCACTCGTAGCTATTTTAATTACCTCTCAAACTACCGTAACTAGTTATAGATATGTTTAGTTTTACTGTCGGGTCACTCATTACTGGATCCGCGAGCTGCATGATACTGGTATAATAGATTGCCCGATCGGGCAACCAGCAGGTGAGGCTTCATTGCCTGAGCTAAATACTAGATGGCCCCGGGCCATCTAGTCCTTAATGTCGAGCCCTGGGGCCTTTTTAACCATTTTCGGCGGATAATTTTCGGTGGCCGAATATTCGGTGCATCCCTACCAGCTATTGTGAAGGCCAGAATCAACCAACTTAATTAAGATCAAGAGGAGATCTATCGGAATGCTTTTATCTGAGAATCGATAGCTTATGGCAATTTATGTGGGTTTTTTTTTACATATACTTTAAGATCAGTTTTATTAATCGAAATATTTTTTCCAGGGACGGGGGAACTTCGTCCTCACACCATTCAAGACGCCACCGCTCCTCTCGCTCCAGAGAAGAAGCTGGAGAGCGGGCTGGAGAGCGGGCTGGAGATCGAGCCGTGGATCGCAGTGGAGATCGAGCCGCGGATCGCAGTGGAGAGCGGGCGGTGGATCGCAGTGGAGAGCGGGCCGTGGATCGCAGTGGAGAGCGGGCCGTGGATCGCAGTGGAGAGCGGGCCGTGGATCGCAGTGGAGAGCGGGCCGGGGAACGCAGTGGAGAGCGGGCCGTGGAACGCAGTGGAGAGCGGGCCGTGGATCGCAGTGGAGAGCGGGATCGAGAGAGGAAACATCGACACAAGGAGCGGCATCGCTCACGCTCCCACTCTCATAGGAGCAAAAGGAAGAGGTGTGGCTTTTTACTCATCACTGAAACTTAAATAAAGCATCACCAGGGTGGGACTTACTTAACTAACAGCAAATGGTAAACGGACTGTCTTTTATGTAGAGCTGTCTCCGGTCTTTATGACTCATCAAAGTGCTTTACTTTTAAAAGTCATCATTCACGCCCTCATTTTTACCTATCCAATTCATTTTTATTTAAATATAGAATGGAACAACTGTCACTAAACACATTTTCTCTGGGATATATAAAGAGTTTGATTATGATTCTGGTGTAACGAGTGATAGCAGACATCATGTCGTATAGTTGTCTTCCGTCGGATGAAAAAAAATATTGCAAGTTTAATTTTGAAAACATGAATTATTTTCTTGAGGTTGATCAATCGGCGGCTGTTGGTTTCTCCTCAGGTCCTCCAGAGAAAGGTCATCTCACACTCGCGACGGAGAGCCCTCGCCGTCCCAGGACAAGGGGAGAGTGGGTGCAGCGGTGGAGGGTTGGCGTGAGGACAAGGCGGAGAGCGGCGAGTGGGAAGACAGGGAGAAGTCCCCCCCCACCGTAGACACAGCCAGGAACGAGAGGGAACGAGAGAGATCCCTGTCCTTAGAACGGGACCGGCGTTCCAGCTCCGAGGAGCGAGAGTCCGGCGAAATATGAACAAGAAGCCTCCAATGTCTTTGATTTGGATACATAATTACTGAAAAGAGCATGGAGAGATGAGTGTCGGAGTGAATGTGTGTTCATGTTAAAGGTGGGACATTAGCCGGGGTGGATGGTGGAAACTTTACATGGGAATGAGGGAACAACTTCAGCGGTGGTGGTCAACGAGACATTTAAATCCAACTTTTATAAGACTGATGTGTGAGGCTGGTGTGACCCGGAAGCAGACATTTTTTTTATGCCATCTTGTCGATCTTATGTACAGTTATTTTGACAGAGTGAAGAGACAGCAGTCATACTTTGAGTCTGTTTTTATTTTACACTCATGAAGTGCTGTTATTTTTGTATTATTAGTTAGTACTTCAATGTTGACAATGTTTTTTTCCTGTTCCTTTAGGAATCAGTTTCAGTAGCTGTGGTTTCCTTTACCCGGGGTGACCTCATTAGCGTGGCGTCCCTCAGTAATGTTTTAAATGAGCTGTGAATGACTGAAGGCTCCTCTGATGTTTGTGTTTTATTCGCTGCCTTCAAGCCATAACAATCTCATTTGGGAAATCCGACACATCACCAAGAATGACTTTAACTTACAGTGATAAGCCTGTCCTTTGAACTCACTTGTCCCTACTGAAAGAATAATCCAAATATTTCTGCTCAGTTCCTGACTTGTGAATGCATAAACATGATGTGCATATTTGCAGACTGACACTTAAAGGCCCAGGGATTTGTGTCCTGTTTGCTGTGATACAACCTGGAGGTATATGGGGAATGAATCTACTTTGCTGTGCCACCATTATGAAAATAAAATGTTCTGCTTCTATTCACATTTCTTTTCATATCATTTTTTTAATGTTCAGTTTGTGTTTTGGGGGTTTTAACTAAATGATTTGGTTTTACCATTTATAAATAGTGTGAAAAACCTAATTAAATATATATTTGTATATATTATATATCTGAGAAGGTTCATGGGTCAGGATGATTTAATTAGTGCAGTGGTAGAAGTATTCAGATCTTGTAGGTAAAAGTATAAATAATCTGTTATAAATATAAGTTATTTATTTGAAAAAAATGTTTTTTGTCAATGTATTGAACATGTCAGAAACAAAACATACAATAATAATAATATATATTTTTTCTTATAACAATAATTATAACAAACAGATAAAAAAAACGTTCAAGGTACAAAAAAATAAAAATAAATCCTCAAATAGTCTCTGTCTCTCTGTCATGTTCAAAGGGTGCAAGAAGAAGCTCAAAACGTTTCTGGTCCTACCCCATCTAGCGCACATTTTCCTTAGATTAGGTCATCGTCTTCAGCGTCATGTTCGTCATGTTGTAAACAAAAATGTTTTTAAAACAATCAAAAAGAAATAACAAATATGAGTTTACAGGTCCTGCTCATAACCATTAATGATTTGGCTTAAGTAAAGGGTCGAATGTTTTAGCATTAAAATGGAACACATTCATAAGTAAGTATGCAAAACTGCCTATTTACATAATATTCGATTCAAAATATGGTAAGCTAAGCGTTGCTAATGTTGCAGCCAGGAACTTTGGACCTTATTTACAATAATGTACTGCTCAGTGGCTTAATCCATAAAATGCATAATAACCTTTATATATACAGTCTATGATAATAACACAGTTGGTCATATTGTGTACTATAATATGAAATACATATCAGAGTTATGTATTATTAACTAAATCCTTTTAAATAAATGTGAATTCAAATGTATAATTTTTAACAGATATTTGTTAACAGCTGTCAGCTGCATTCAATTCCTAAATTCCTGATGCAGCGTTTTGCTCCAGGAGTAAAGTCTGTACTTGCGATGCTTCATCACGGCTGTACTGTGAAACCCCCGGCAGCCTGCAGGGGGCGCAAAGCTACTGCCTGTGGAGGGAGAGCGTGGTGACGTCAGTGGGAAAACGTGATGTCAGACGCACGTTCAGAAAAGAAGCGCGAGTGAGTATGAAATGAGCAGAGAGGATTTGTTTACAACATTTTCTTCAGAACGGGGATTGTTTTGAGTGTTTACCTCAGGATGTCTTTGCTGAAGCCCTTCAGTAAGCTGCCTGGTTTGAACACAGCGAACATCCTGGTGAGTTTGTGTTTTATTATAGCTTTAAATGTTAAACTTTACAGAGATAGTGCGATGTTGTGTTTTAGTTGCTCGCGATGACAGGACCTAAGGTGTTTAGTCATTTACCCCTAATCAAATGCACATTTACTGTTAATGATTGTTTGTTTTTGTTATGCCTTACATAATAATACCTAACTTTATCCAAACAAAGCACACTTATAAGGTATAACAGTCTACTTGTAGCCTATTCGAATAGGCTATGGCTGTCTGAATTAATAGATGTACCCACTTCTATTTTCTGCTAAGCTATTACTTCTAATGTTACTCCGATAGATTTGGGAGGTGAGGTAGCCTGCTGTTTACTCAAATAACGTTACATTTATTATATAACTTAAAGGGGACCTATCATGCAAAATGCACTTTTGTACGTCTTTTATACATGAATATGTGTCCCCGGTGCTCACCGAGTGTCAGAAAACACAACCCTCTCTATTTTCCTTCATACACAAATCTCTAAAAAAAAAAGGGGCTCCAACGGATCTGATAAAAACTGATCCAGATTTGAACACTTTACTGACGTCAGTAAAGTGGCGCTACGGCTATTGGGCCATCT